CTAATGACTTTGCCTAGCGTCATCCTCTCTGCAACAAAATGAAAAGCTCCTATGCAAAGGCAAAGCCTGTTTTTACTTTTGCTCCTTTATTTTTGTGCTTGATGTGATGGATCTTAGAGATGGTCAATTAAAAAAAAAGTCAATTAATTCAGTGCTAGGGGAGGGTTCCAGATTGTCAGAGTTGGATGCTGGAATTCTATATATATGGACAGCATATAGTGTAGGTACTGACCTCACCATATTGGTCTAAAGTGCCTGAATATTGCTGGGAGGGATGAGGGAATAAATGGTCTGCCAACAAAACAGGAACATTACAAAGGATATCAGACAAACCAATTACTGTGATAATTGCAATGGTGGTGGGAGAGGGTTCTGTCATGGAGGCTCTTGTATATTAAGACCCATAACTCAGTCTACAAAAAAACCTGTTCATCAGTAATTTAACATAATCCCCACTTTATGCCAAACCTGTTTGATTGTGGTTGATGCAGGATGTAGGATTCCCCCATAAACTATATATAGTACAGACCATTATACAAGTGTGGTCAGCATTCCTGGATATATGAAGAGACATGTACCATGAGGGAGATTTTCCAAAGGCACCATCAACAGTCAGTGGGAGTTAGGCAACTAACTTCCATCTGTGTCTTTGAAAATCTCCCCCCCGCCATATATTTGACACTGTTTAACCTCCATCTTTTTCTGTAAGAGTCAATACAAATATCAATATAGCTGCTACTCTTTTTCTTGTTCGCGTCTATAAATTATACATAAGCATTACTTTTCAAATGTCAGTGTTTTTATTTTGTGTCTTCTAAAATATATTTAGGATATTGACAGCAAGCATGACACTTACACATACATTCTTGTACCCACTTTGTGCAAAAAATTTATGCAAATGGCACATTTGCTAAGGCACAATATCCCTTTAAACACTCAGACTAATATCTTTAGCATTAAGTAGTTGCCCCTATCAACATAACTACTGCCTACTAAGTGTGCTGTTAAATCAACAGCTCATCAAATAGTCTGATGCTAGGATATAACAAGTTTCTGATGGAGTTGTGCTCCCTCAAAGAGTGAGTGTTTTTCCATCACAGTTTTAGTCTCCTATTTTGACTAAGATCTAAGATCTTAATGCATCAATTGAGTTAACTCTCCTGCCAGTACATAAGAAATTGAAGTAATAAACCACAACCTGTTGTAGTGGTGTTAACATTAGTAGGTACTATTCTACCTGACGCCGTTTTTAAACTTCAACCAAAATGACAAGCACATAGTTCTTGGGTGCGCCTCTATTTTCACCTCTCCCGCCCCCTTAACCACTGATGACTCATCCAAAGTGTTGACCTTAATTTCACCCTGCACCACTTTGATTTCCACACAGTAAAACATTGACATGTTGTTCTTTCATTACTGCTGAATTTAAAATTCATGATGCTTAGTGACATTGGGGTAAATTGCATCTTTTTATAGTTAGTAGATGCCCTGTCAAATGTCAAGTTCCTGCTCCAAACCATGGAGACTCTACAGCTTCTCAAGAAAACAGGTGTGAGATTTTTTTAAACATGACGAAACTATGTATTTTTCCCTAATCTCATTCTCAGAAATGGCTGAATCATTTTTACAGACAAAATTCAGTCCATGGCAGGCAGGCAAACCGCATGAAACATTTCAGCATGAAGGATTTAGGTTTGTCAAAGTTGCAAGCCGCTGAAAGCAGGGTCTTATAATGGGAAGTATTGGGGAACCTTAACTACAAGCTCCACCCATAATGAACTAGCTTTGTGAATAAAAATGAATGCAGCTCTGGGGCCAACCTTGAGTCCTAATGCAAGCAAAGCTCTGGTAAAGGTTCCCATAAAGTTACACAGAATAGGGTATTTATGAGAACCAAAATTATAACTTTATCTGAATCACGACTCCAGCATTCCAATCTTAAGAATTTTTTCATTTGGGACAAATGTTTGGATCAGTTCCTTCTTCCCATAACACATTTTCCCCCACCCTTAAATACTTTTTGGCATTCTCCAGTACTTGTGTATTCCCCGTGATCCTTAAAAATATCCTACCACTGTATGATTTTACATGCGAGGGCTGCCATGGTAACAGAACACACAATTTACTGTATCCCAGAGTTAATATGTGCATAGACACAGAATCTGCAGACATACAAATTACTGCCTCCCTATAGGCTGCTTCCTCCGGCAGGATTTTGTTGTTGTTGGACACATGCTTTATACGAGAGGGAGAAAGAGAACAAACAGACTCTTTGCATCTGCTCCTTCCCCCTTGGTGTTGTGAATAATAGGATGTGTAATAGAGAGGTGTCCTTTTACACATGGAGGAAGAAAAGGTTAAGCAATTACCAGTACATTTACCCCCAAAAATATACTACACTCAAGGGAAGTAAATTCTGAACTAAGCTACAGGAAACAATACATTGTGCATACAGTACTGGAAATGAACAGACTCTATTTTGTTAACGAACTGGTCCTATCATAATGAACAAAGGTTCTGATCCTAAATAAGGAAAATACCATTAAAAAAATAAATGTCTGAGGCAAAATAAGAGCTTTGCAGAATAGCAATGGGATTTCCTGCACTGCAGCTGTGTGCTATTACCAGCTACAGTATATCACTCAAGTGCTGCTTTTAAAGGGGTAACTGTCAGCCTACAGGGATTAAGTTTGAGAATTTGCAATTCATCATCTTTATTTGGAAATCTAGTAGCTCGCCTCCCAAAATTAAATACTTTCTGTATCACAAGTAGACTTTTCAATTACTTCGAAACATGGACTGCATTTGCTTTAAATAAACAAATTACAACCTTGAATTTCTATTCATCTAAATCAACAGTTTAAAATTCAGACAAGCAAATATGTGACACTTTTTGAGATGTCTTAATATAATTACACCAACAAATTGTCCTGATTGTCAGAGTCTGCAACATTAACTCAATTGCTTAAAATATGATGTGCTTCATTGCCTTTATTCAGGCTGTAAGAATCGAGTTCCATTAGTCTTTCTGCATAGACGTTTTACTGTAGATGTCACAGAGCACAATTTGGCCCATAAGTTGCTGACCTCTATTATTTTAATTGCCCTTTTTGGCACTTTAACCAATTTTGATTTTCTGCAGAATTGGGCCCACACTTGCAAGCAGCAATAGATTTGCAGCTTGAGTAAAATTGTATTACACACTGCTGTTCTCAGCACTGATTCAAGAACCCAGGCAGAAAAAGAAATCCTAACAAATATAATTCAAGAAGAAAATGGAAGAAGAAATGTAGAAAAAAAATGAAGAGTAACAACAGTGACTTTAAAAAACACACCCAAAAGTGAACCTAATCCATCTGCATATGAAAAGGAAATAATTAATACAAGAGAGGGAAAATGGGAGTCTGCATTTTAAATGATAGCAACTGATGCAATTACTTATTTTTAAATACAGGCTAAATTCAATACCCTAATTGTGCATAGAAAATATATGCACACACAAAATTGGTACTGTGTCTGCATATGGACACCTGCATATGTAGGTACCCATTTGCCTATGAACGTACTTGAGCTTGGATGTCCATACATTTGTACACACACAAACACACACACACTTAATTTTGCAGATGAAAATCAGGTGAAGAATTCTGAAGATCTGGCACATCAGGTTTGTAGATTAATAAATTGAAGGCTAGTACAAGGCATTAAATTACCCATATATATCAAAAGAGAAATCCTTCTTGAATGAGTACAACACTGAGATTATAAAGAAGCTAACATCTTAATTTACTTCATTTCAGTACATCATTTCTCCAATGGCTGCATGAGTGGAGCAATGGGTAACAAAAAAAACAACAAATCAATACCACTATTAAAATACATCCACAAATTTGCTAAAAACAGTATGCTGAGCAATACTCATGCTCAAGATGGCTGCAGATTGCCAAAGGGATGAGGTGAAGCCTAAGCATGTATTTGAGAATAAGTGGAAATAACCAAAGGTTTGCACATGTTGGCACGGGCACCAAGAGCAAACAGTGGGATTTTACAGAAGCATCTACGTGATTAAGGAGCAAAAGTCCCCCAGCTTTCAATGGGACTTAGGCATTTTTCAAACATCCCATCCATAATACTCAATTAAGGGATGCACAGGCCTTGTTCTAATCCTCTGTACCCCAAATTCCTTTCGGAAGTTCTTTCCAAACTTCACTGAAGCCAGTATTGTGGAAGTTCCCACCATTCCATTATTAATAGCTCACAGACTTCTTTTGCCTGTTGTATTTTACTGAAAATGTTATTTCACTTTCTATATTTTCATGTCTATTAGCAGTTTCCTAAAGCTTGTTGGTACCAATTTTATTAATAGACTATTCTTTTAAAAAAAGGATTTTATTCCCGCTTTTCATTTAATTTCGCAAACACATGTCCATATTGACTTAGAAAAATGCAACACCTTTGGAAAGCGCAGACTGTGCTGATGAACTACAACATATGGTAGTCAACATTTTCAGGATCAGATCCATGGAAAGGTTTTAATACAGTGCTCCAGTTCTTAAAAAAAAAAAGGAAGTGCTGGAATGTACTTCCATCCCAAAAAAGGAAGTGCCTTCCAGCATTTCTGGTCAGTTTTTTTAATACCGGAAGTACTGGAATGCTGTTCGGCTCCCTACGCAAAGTGCCAGAATGGTGTTATGGAGCATTCCAGCATGACTCAAGCCCTGCTTTAATAGTTTCAGGATTGGGTTCTAAAACCGAAGGCTTGAACTCTCAGCCCCTGAATTGGAACAACCATCCAACATATAGGGCTGCAGCCAGCCATCGTTAGAAGGGTAGAAATAAATCCCTATAAAATTTATGAAGTGTTCACCACAATATAGTGCTTAACATGTATTGACTAAAACAGTGAGCAGTAACAGCATATAAAAGTCTACTTCCTTCACCTAAAACATGGGAAAGAAATACCTTTCAGGACTGTAATTACAGTTTCACTTTTATTCTAGAATGCATGCCGTAGCAGGGTGACAGAAAATTTGCAGAGGATTATGGGAGACATGATGCAAACACTGCTGGACGTAAAATCACTCGAGAAGCAAATGCTGCAGAGAACAAGTAGAAGTGCGTGTCAAATCCAAGCACCTTGGTTTAATTTGAATTATGTTGACTCTGCCACATTAGTTCAGACAGTGCTCTTTGATACCGCCAGCTGTATTGACATTTCCGATTCAACGTGGAACTTCCTCTTTTACAAAGTGTATGGGTGGAAATGTGGTAATTTTAGGTGAGATTGGGGTTTTTTTTTTGTACTTGTAGCTGCTGGTCCCTAAGTCTTTTTTTCTCTGCTGAATTGGTGCTGCAGAGATCAGCCCATTTCAAGTTTAGCTTCAGTTAAACCTATATTTAAAAATCAATATCTATTTTCTGAAGACAGTGGCCCAAATCATCAGCTGGAGTTGCAGAATGCACAGGGCAATTCAGGACACTGGGGTGGCAAGATGGGTGTTGGACAGATCAGTCTCCCGGCACTGCCCTAAATTATACTGGCTGCTAATGGCCCCAAAGGGAGATTAAGACAGCTGGGGATCAGTGAGGTGCAGGAAGTCTTGGGTGTGGACATTTCTCCTGGTCACCCGCTATGCCACAGACAATAGACCTACACTGAGACAATCTTCCCAGGACTAGTTACATTGGGTTTGGAGCTATCTTGCACCAGCAGCCCTGCACAAAGCACGGCAGTGTATCCCAGAAACCAGTCTTTCTGCTGGACTGAAATCATTTGAAAATAGACTAAAACATACACATCTACCCTGGATTTTAATATCGACTGATCTTCACCAAATGCAGTACAGGCAATAGAATACTAACTTTTCCATGTTGCTCCATCAACGTGCCTTAATCCTATCTGGAGATACCTGGCAAATTCCTAGCTCCATTGAAGTCAATGGCAAAACCCTTGTTGATTTGAACAGGGCCAGAATTTCCTCCTATCATCTATACTGAGAGAGTAATTCAGCCTCTTTGTTGAGACTGCCAATTAGTGTTCCAAATAGTGGCAGTTGTGGTGGTGGGGGTGGTTCATATGTTGTGGACATTTACCCATTAAGAAATAGACAGATGTCACCAAGTTATTTCACAGAGGTATGTCAGGCTATATTTTGAAGTCCATGTTCGGGGGTGGGGGAGGCATTATTTTTAAATTAATTAATTCACAAACTTATTTCTTCTGGTAAATTGGTAACATTCTTGTTGGTTTACTCGGGATTCATTTAATAAATACCATGTTAGCAAATTTGATATTTTAAGGATAACTCTGTAATTATATAAGATATTCAAGTATATGTCTATACACATATTACTGTACCTTTTATTTCATCCTTGGAATATTTACTCTTCTTCCATCTCTTTAGAGCGACAAAACTTCATCCCAACAAGAACGTTCTATAACTGCTCACCAGTAAAACTGGACAACATTTACAGCGGCAAAAACAGGATATAATGCACAGTTAAACTTCATGATGGCTTGGATATCATTCTGTTCAAGGTAGCAAATGACATGTTCAGTACTTTCTATTTCCATGGAATATATAACACCACAAAAGAAATAAAACCGCCCCAGCATTTGTGAAGCCTATGCTACGTATGTACTGATAACAGAGAACATGTTTTCATGAAGTGGACAAATGAGTTAAAATTAATGTCAAGATCAAAAACTGAAGAATCTTGTCAAACCTGGGACCAACCCCCATAGCAAAAAAGAGAGCTAGCCAACTCAGTTGTGTGTGTACTGTATGTGTCCGTCCAGTTTAAAGAAAATGCCATAAAACTTGTTTATAAACTAAACCTAATGTGCAGGTTACATTTCTAACCAATGTTTCAGGGAAGGCCTTTTCAACTTGTCCTTGTGGGAAATCAAACCACAATTTAAGTGGTGACATTTCAGAAAGCACAAAAGCCTCACAGGATAAAATTATCTCACTATGAAAGGGATAAATAAGCTATTTACTATAATAAATACTAGTTATGTCCAGCCATTCAGATTTTACTCTTTAATGTGTGCAATTTTATTCTGCAATCTAAAATGTGGCAACAGCTACTGAGATTAGAATGAATGCTGGTTAGGCTAAACAAGTAATGAAGTAATTGTAGGAAATATACAAGACACCTTAGAAGTGACTGAGGCCTATGAAAAGGGTAAAAACTATTCTTGTTTTTTTTTTTTTTTTTTAGTTTTAGTTACATTTTCTACTGCAAACACACCAAGAATCCTAAATGAATGAGTAATGAATAAATCATTGTGAATACAACAGGTTGAAATGTTTCTGATGGAGCAGTTTTCCCCATCAGAAAATGCTGATTTGACAAAATCGAAATGTTCCCCAGAAACGTATCAGCATGTCAGAGTTTCTGATGAAAAACTGTGAAAATGAAATGTTTTAATAAATTCAAAGTGAAATGTGACTTTGATTTTCCAAAACAAAATTTCAGAATTCCTGTTATGTAGGAAATTTCCAATTTTCATTTTGAATTCAGAATGGAGAGGAAAAAAAAAAAGTTTCAGAATCCCCCGTTGAATGCCAATTTTGGCTTCCAGCCAGCTCTAATGCCATCCTCTTTAAGGGCCTAATCCTATGCCCACCAATGACAATAGGAGCTTTACACTGCCTTCAAAGAATCAGGCTCTGAGTTAAAGGAAGAATTCGTACTCTCATTTTACAAATGGGGGAGGGGGAGGGAAACAGTGAGGTTAATTGAAGTCAGTGGCAAAGCCAGAAAGAGAGCCCAGATCTGATTTCTAACCCTGTGCCAAAGTCAGAAGACCATCCCTTAAAGCTATGTACATACATCCTGCCCTGAACTCCACCATCTCCCCCATTCCCTCAGTGGTCAACTACTAGTTGCCAATTTAGTCATTTTTCAATCCCTCCTGTAAATTCTAACACCCTCTCTAATTTCAATTCCTGTGGAAAACACTAACCCCTTTCCTTTGAACACCCACAAGCAAAGAAATCCAAAAGTCTCTAATCTACTACACTCTTTAGGTACTACAAGAAAGTCCAAAAAGTTGATTTTTGCATAGCACAATACTGGATATGCTGCAAAACCTACAAAAGAATTTAAATGTTTAACCTTACTACTAAACTAATTTTTCTTATTTTAATAGGTTTACATCAAACTCCTAAAATTCTGCAATATATTTTTGTGGTGTAGGAGTTTCAAAAGAATGGAGACACAATTTATCAGGAACACTAGCACATTCTTACTTACAGTGATTTCTGAAGCTTAGCAAACAATTCTACAATGCCATGCTCTCTCTCTCGTATATATATATATATATATATATATATATATATATATATACTATA